TTCTGAAGACCAAACAACATTCCGATACTGTAAAAAAAAAATTGCAAGTCTCTTCCACTACAGTATTCCCGTCAACATTGGAGACACAAGTGAAACGAAAAAAATCTGGGCTACGAACGCTATTTTCGTCAAATTCTAAATTTGCAAAAAATTTACAGCAGTAAGTGTATAGACCATATTTTACGCTCGTTTAATTTTTTTCATATATAACTATTGTTGATGTTAAATTGTTCTCCCATTTTTTTTTCATTGTTTTCCCCATATTTTGCATATTATCATCATTAGCTGTAAGTAAGTTTCATCTATAATACTGGCTTTGCAATAATGACAATGAAAGTGTTTTTTGCATTTTTCAAAATGAACATTCACAGAAAAACACATAACCATAAATTGTCGCCTTTTCTTTTTCCTTTTTTGCTTTCTTGTTTTCTTCAAATAAATCAGTTTTTTAATCTGTTCATCAAAACAAGATGTTTTATAGTGGTCTTTATTTGGTTACACTTGTCTACAATGATCAGAAGCTGTTGTGCACAACCGACGATTGTCTGCCGGTAATACCAATCGACGAAACAACATCAACTGTTATTAAAGTAATCCATCAATTCAGTAATGTCAAAAAATCAAAAATAAAAATTTTTTAAGTCAATTAATGAGAAATGCTTTTTTTGGTTAACAAACAGACTAATAAATAGACAAGAAAAAATAAAGAAAAGAAAATACAGAAGAAAAACATGAGAAAAATCAAATGATTGTAAATTTTATTCAATTATTGTTATCCCGTCTCAAAAATGTCACCAAAGTTGAGCAAATGAATTCAGCTAATCCACGCATATCTCCCGCAACCACTGAAATTTTAGGAAGATATTTTCTGGGCCATCAAGTTATCACTATGCTGGGAAAACACACAAATATATAGTGATAATCGAGAATGCTGTTCATCAAATGCCTATTTCCGGATGAAATTTATTGAAGCTGTTACGGAGATGCAAAATTCTTTGGGAATGAAAGACCTTGGCAGGTTGGTATTTCAAAAGTGCCGCCTCAGTCCTTTTTTCCTTCTAACACCAGCATCAAAAAAATAAAAAAAACGGCACACGTATAATAGCTCCCTAGAAGAAATAATAGTTACGAAATAATTTTGTAAAAACAGCATTAATATCCCATTCTGACATCTATTAGTAATGCTCGAAAAGAAATAGACTGACGAATCAATGTTCTTTCTTGTTGTCATTTACACAAAGACTTTCAATATTTTTAAATTATTTCCCTGTCCGCTGTCCTCTCGTTCCACCTCCCGTTTTTTTTCCTCCTATAATAAGAGTTCTTAGTAATACTCGTCAATTCGAATACTCCTTTTTTTCATTTTATCCCGTCATACAGTTACTTTTTTTTGTCTTCTGACACTGCATTTCAAATATGACTGAAAAAAAAATGACATTTTTCCCTAAAGCCAGGTTGTATTAAAGGTAGACCAGATGCCAATCACCATTCACTTCCACAGGCTGCATTATTCAGGCAGTCTTTATCGGTTTTGTTGAGAACGTCAAAAATTTTTTGTCTACATCTCATAAATGCCATATGAAATGTTATTTCAGTGTTTTATAGGCTACATCCACAAACATTGGTATTTCCGGATAATGAAGCCACTTTTTTGGTCTCGATTCTACGCGTCAGAGACGCACAATTATGTCAAGTACGGGTAAATTTGTGAAGAAAACAAAAATTGTTTTCTTTTTTGAGTGCTCTGATCGTCGCATCGTCTAGACTGATCAAAACTGAAAATTCCACAGTCCACTGCTTTTAGTTTAGAGCAATTGTGTAAAATGGATGTCATCAAGCAAAGTCAAGAAGAGGCATTCGTCGGCCGCAGTCGACTTCTTGTTTGAAAAAGTTGATGATTTGATCAAATTTCATCACGATTCACGGTTACGATTGCAAAGAGGCCTTTACCTATGTTACATGCAGCTTCACTCATCATTAGACGCTATCAGTGTCGTAGTCCCCAAGAACCTGCCTTCAATGTTACCTTGTGTTTACATACGGTAAGTTCTGAACTTGGAATTCCACAAAAAACAACATTTGCGCTATTACTTGATAGCGTCGAACTGCTCATAAACCATCACGAATAAACATTCCTTCATTGCTGCACCTGTTTGGATCAAAAAATACTTTCTAATGTGATAAACAAAAGTTGTTAATATTCTCCACATCTCTAAAGCCAAAAAACCTGGCAATTTTAGTGACGACCCCCACGTCTCCAAAGAAGAGTGGGATTGGCTCCGAATTCTCAAAGAAAATAGTAGCCAAAGACCCACCATTAACCAACTGTTATTCACCAAACGTCTGATCAAAGCTTGCCGTGAAATATCGAGCTCTTTAAAAGTTGACGTTAATCAGCTGCCTATGCATCGCATTTACCGCCTTCAAGTAGTGCAAGTTGACGAAAAAGTTTCAGTGATATTGGTAACTTCATTATTTCGATTTCCGGAAACAAATGCACCGTCACATGAAACCGTTTCAAACAACTAATAAAAAAGCCTGAAAATGGTTTTGAATAGTTTAGTTCAAAACCAATAATTAAATTTAATGAGAAATCTAGTGTATACAGACTCTGACTAGCGGCAGACTAATGATTTTTTGTCTCCCCTTCACTTTCAGTAACTAGAATACTTCCTTATTTGCCTGTTTTACAGATGCTACCAAATACAAGTAAAGTTTGTTCGGCTCCGAGATGGTCATCTGGTGAAACAGATTTGGAAGAATCAAAACGATCCTGTATTTCCATCCTGTTTCCGGTTTTCGAACTCCGTAAAAATTTTTGCGTTAATTAGCAACAGAAATACCTCATTTCTGATCAAATGAAAGTAATACTTTTTCCATTTCAGTTCATCTCTGCGTCTACAAAGAAGACTTCTTGAAACGATACATTCGACTATCCTTAAAAGTCGACCACTTATACACGGTAATTGTTTCTTCAGCCACTCGACTCTCCAGATTCGCACATTGTATAAAATACCTTATAATCATGACAGCAAAAAAATTTAGCTTATCCACCATAAAAACCGTCATTTCTGCTACAGGTGGCTCAGTATGAACACCGAAACTGCCTATCCGACGACGACAATCAGATGTACAACGCCGTTGTAGAGAAGCTGAAAGAATTTCAGGAAAAGTACGCACTGCTCAGTTTAACGCCTTTTGGACTCAAAATTTCATATTAGTATAAAGAAAGCCGGTTTCCCGTTAAAAAGAATAATTACAGATTAGCTAAAATTTGGAAAGATAGCAGATGGTTGTACAACATCGCAAATGAAGCTTGCGATAAAAACGCAGAATCTACCTTATTTTTAAAACAACTGATGTTTTTCAACGGAAGTCTCACAGACTATGATACAAACTTCAATAACAAAACAAATTCGGAAAAGTCATCTGAAAACTTGGTAAGCCTTTCAAAAAAATAAGTGGATAATAAAAAATCACCTTAAATCTATGAGGAAAAGCAACAAATTATCAAAAAACAATAGTGAAATCCTACGGTACAAAGAACTGCAAAAGCCATGAAAATCTACATATTTCAACCGTAAAACCTAAACTTGCCATGATGTTTTCGGCACTTACTACATTATAAGAGAAAATTTCCAACTTAAAACCAGATCGAAATCTTAAATATTTACTTCCTTTTGCTCCTCTTCAGACCGCCCCATAAAAAAACCTGAAAAATTAACAAAAAGTAATTTCAGTCTAAAGATAAGCTGTCTGAAAGCTGTGAAAATGTTTCAACAGAAACCCAGTCACCCGGTGCTTACATCAACGAAGATCATTCAGCTATCGATAAGCGGCGATCTTCAACTGGCATGCTAACGACAGGTGTTATACGGGTTTATACGGCTTACCAATGTGGCTTTGCCAAAGGTACATCTGTACGTCTTCAAATAAGCTCTACAACAACATCACGTGAAGTTGTGGCTCTCGTTGTCACTCAACTTGCCAAAGCAGCTGCAGCAGCAAAACTAATCAAACGCGAAGACGCAAGTCTTCACGATTACTGCTTGGTCGCTGTTATTGGTTCAAGAGAAAGACGACTTCGCGACGATTTTCCACTGTTGAAACTGCAAAACCCCTGGACAAAAGGCCGATTATTTGTAAGAAGGCGAGATCGTGTACTGGAAGCAATACACTTCGGGAATGAAGCAACCGTGTAAATAGATTCCACCTTTAATCGCCGTTCGAAGTCTACCCCTCAACAAGCAACTCCGTGAAACAAGGAAATCCAAACTCCCCAGATTCCAAAACGTCATATTCAGTTCGCGACCACACAAACCGACCTGTAATGATTCTGATCCTTGTAATCATTATGAAAATCCCCATGCATGTCCTCCTGGGCCAAACTTGATGTAAATAAAAGGCCTATTAACCTAGCCGTACTTCATAAACGAAAAAGCTTTCACAAACTACCGCACTGACATCAAGCACACACTTTCTGCTATCCATCTCACACTGGTGCTGTTTCAACTGAACAGCTCAGTTCCCTCCCAAACCCTTCTGCTTCAACTCCCTGTTATAAACAATTTACAGTTCAGCAGTTCAACACACTACAATAACTGCAAAACTTTACTGTAGAATAATATTACTCAACTGGATGTGGATCCCCACGAAAAAAAAAAAAAAAAAGAAAAGATAGCTGAGTAGCACCACATCAGTCTAAACATTTGAAAAAACAAGAACAACTTGAAACTGAAAAAAAATTATATCAGTTAAATGACCATGCTGTTTAAAACCTTACAGAATTCCAAGAACAACATCACTGAACACAAATAAAAGAATTGAAGCAAAATATGTAACGACAACAGAAATATAATGCATCTTGCTATCGGGTCAAAATACATTCCTGACATAAATTTTACACAAAATACTTCTTTTCCTTTCCCACCCTCCAAACTTCAGACCAGAACTTAAATGGAGAAGATGAAAAAAAACCCTAAACAGAACTCCCGTTCTAGTCTGGCGTACAAATCAAACTCAGTATAAAACTTTCAGTTACACTTTAACACCTGCTGCAAAAACACGGCTTACGGAGGATACCAAACTAGATTAGAACCTATATAACAATAAAAAAGAACCTTTGCAGATGAAAAGATTCCTTACAGTATCCCATCAAATACAGAATTTCAAGTATCTCTATGCGCATATACAATTCAATTTGGTGGTTGAAACCAATTCGCCTCGTAAAAGCAAACCAAAACGGAAAAAATGAAAAAGACAATAAAAGTAATAAAAATAATATTAGTAATAAAATATTAATAACAATAATACTAGTGGAAAAAGGCATTCAACACTTAAGGATTACAAAGATATAACCATCGTCTCACACTTCTCAACTCCATGAGAGAAGCCTTAGACATAAAAAAATGACAGAGCCTAAATTTACTAGAAGAGCAAAGAATTAATTTCCTCCATAACTAACAGAAAATAAGTCTTAGATGGTTTTGGCAATAGAAATCTTTAAACTACATAAAGCTTTGAATAACGACAGACAAGCATCAATAAAAACAACTCAATGACAGCACATATGAAAAGATTGGACACAATACAAACATTAAAAAACAATAATGAATAAAAACATTGTGTTAGAGGAAAAAAGCAACCAACGCCCCACTTCCACTTTCCCTCGCAAACGATGAAAGCGAAGACAAGCAAACGTATGATTACGAGGAAAACAATATTGCTTTAGGTCATAAGCTTCACATAAGAATTATAGTTTTGAACATCTCTTTTGAGGATTTCCCGAACAGGACCCATCACTCGTTCAAATCGTGCACGATCCAATTTGACGCAAGTCAGCGGGGTCTTTGCAACAACGGTAGCAGCTCGAGGACGGTCAAGTAGTAAAGCGATTTCACCTAAAAAGCAGCCCTTCCAATTCGAATAGAACTAGAAAAAACAAAAAGGAATAAGAGCACTGTTTTAGCTGCAAAACAAAAGGTGCTACAGCAAGCGCCTTTCAAAACAAGCCGGGACTGCGGGATTAAGATGGAAGCTGACGCCGATACGCAAAAAGTGCCTACAAAAAATTTACAACGAATGGAAAAGGGCAGTGACTGACCAAAGTAGTCGGAAGGTCCCAGATGACCAACAATTTCAAATGGCGCGTCCTCACTCCTTCTTTGCAATACATCAGCTTCACCCTCAACAATAATATAAAATTCATCTCCCGGTTGTCCCTGAAAAACAAAGACGAGACTAACAGTGATCAAACGTTACGGAACTAAACAGTCGACCACAAATTTACCGGAAATAATGCGGCCAGAAAGTAGTATCGAATGACAGAATTAAAAGAGAAAAAACGACCAGCAAAGCAAAAATTAAGAGAGAGAGGTCCAGAATGAAAAAAAAATGAGATGTAGACAACGGGCGGCAAATAATGAACTATATCCATAACGCTGCCCTTCAAAAATAAGGATATCCAATAGAAAAGTAGCACTAGCACGAGATAAGCTAACCATATAACGAAACTAATCGAAATACAACTTATAAAAAACGCCTCACCATCAGGCAAAACTAAATATATGCAGTCTTAAAATACTGCAAAAAGTAATTTGTACTTGTTAGATTCGCTAGTCCTGAAGAATGTGTGATGAACAATTCATCCTTCATATTTTGAAACGTTTCTTGCCTACGAGGAAAATAAAATCTGTATGAATAAAAAAAAGGACGCTTAATACCAGTTGCGAAATGCTAACAAATGGACATCCACCCAAATTATACACTTCCCCTATATGTCTCATAAGACCTAAAAAAAAAGATCGAACAATACTTCAGCTACTGATTACGAGGTTCGAATACAAATGTGCGCTTTACTACTAATTTACTGATGTCATCATTTTTACACTACCTGTTCAACAATTCTCGTCCCTTGCGCAAAATCGCAGCGTTCTAGCGCGTCGGCTACATTTGCTCTTTCCCATTTGTCGAGATCAGCTAAAAACCTCCTAGTTTACTGTTGTTCGTCATAAATATCACAGACGATCAACAAAACAGTTTTCAACCACCAATATTTGTATAAAGACTTTGACTAACAAAAAAGAAAACTAGTCATATAACACACAACAGGGAACGATAAAAAATTCTTACAAAGAATTTGAACTTTGGAAAGGAATTCGTCATAAAGCTTCCTTTTACGCATTGTAGTTCCCATAAGGACGCTACGATACGTCATACGATCAATAGCCCACATTTTAACGACTTCTGATTTCGCAACAATGGATGCTGCCCGAGGAGTGCCATATATAAGAGCCAGCTCACCAAAACTTCCACCGTCTTTGATGGATCCCGTGTATTCCGCGTTCACGAAAATGTCAACCTAAAAATCATTTGACGACCATATATTGCAAAAACAAGTTCCACACTGCTATTCACTTTCATAGCCTGCATAAGTTTCCAATGTATTCCGCATTCAAGCAAGTAGCATATTAAACGATTTACAAGAAAAAAAAATTACTGTTTTCAATCCCCGCAACTTCTACTATTTCCAATAAAGAATTCCACATACATTCGTTATCTTATAAAGTAAAAATTGCTCAGATGTTTAACCACAGCTGTAAAAACAAAAGCGGAGAAAAAAAATGAGTAAGTACATATTACACACCTCACCAGAATCAACCACATAAAAATTATCTCCCTGTTCCCCTTGTTCAATTATCACTTCGCCACGATTTTTCACAACTGGGAACATAGCATCGAATATTGCTTTTTGCTCGTCTTTCTATAAAATATAACAAATTAAAACTATCAAATAATCATTGGCAAACAATAAAATTCCTTCTACCTAAAACGATAAAAGGAGTCCATAATTTTCATTTTTTGGACAGCGAATAAAAGTTACAATGACAAGACCCGCAATTTCTAAACGCTAGCTCCATATGCTATAGAGTTTTGATGGAATCCTGGTCTTCAGAAAACAAGTTACTTATGAAACTATATTACCATTTCAAGAAAAATAATAAAAACAATGGCGCAAGCTTCAAGAAAAAATTCACAAGAATTACTCAGATTTAAGATGAACCACCGTAACCAATAAACTGTACTGTCGTCAAGAATACCAGATATATTTTTGTCAACAAGTACTATAACGGCAACAGAAAAAAAATTTTTCAACACGCATGTAGCAAAAACCACAAATATTTGATGACCCAAAACTTGCTTGTTGGAAGTGCAAAAAAACCCCCCACTGGGAAGAACTAAGTGAACCTTCAACAAAACCGCTTACAAGAGGCCCTATCCCTCAGCAAAACAGGGTTAATTCGGAAGTAAAAAAGTAACAACAAAAAATCCCGCTTCCAGAAATTCAAAAGATGAAAAATAACCTCTAGATGAGAAAACAAAATATTCTTGCACATAACGGCTTCCAGAGCCCTTCTTGTCTCATCATCCTTCGGTATTACGACTTTATCATAGTTGAAAGCTTCGTTTTCATCAGGAGGCTGAAAAATATAATGTTGGCAGTACATCCCGCTGTCCGAAGCACAATTTAACTTGATTTAAAAGTTCATAAGACTGACATAATCTATCAATAAACAACTTCCTCGTGGGGCAAAATTGAGGTAGGTTTCGCCTTAAAAGATCACTTATCACAAAGAAAAGCACGCCAACAATAAAGAATAAAACCACACCTAAAAGTATGTCCTTCCCGTCAACGCTAATTAAAGGTTTTTTTTGAAGATGAAACTAGGCTCTTTCAGTTCTGACAAAACTTTAAAAATTAATTACTACTAAAAGAAAACTCAATCTGATAAAAAATATCAAATTACAAAGTAACTAAAAACAGCAATGACTTTGCAGGAAGATCTACAAGCCACCTAAAAAACTTTAGTGCGCTAACCACAAAAAATTTTAGGAAAGAGCCGATAACGGCAAAGAAAGCAACAGATTCCCAACACTACAACCGAAATAAATCAGTGACGTACAAAAAGATAAACTGTAAAACAGACTGTCAGCTAAAAAAAGGGCAAGAAGAAGTAGACCCTGAATAACTGACAGTGAAGACACACAGGTAATTACCATTGAAAAAACAAAATTTAAAAAAAAAAACCTCTGCACTAATCCCATGCCTGCGCTTCCCTGACGGCATTTTTGGAGGTTCCTCAATCGTGTCATCATCTTCGTTCTGATCTGCACCCTGACTTGATTCCTTTAAAAAACAAACTTTGTAAATTAAAGTCAGATTAATTTACTGGAGAAAAAAAAGCGTTCTTTAAACTAAAAACTTTCAAGAGGCGAAGTAATGAACTCGAAAAATGAGAAGAGACTGGACGCCTTAAAAAAAAACCACCACTGGAAACCTTGTTTCAAAAAAATGGCAACGAAAAGATAGAAAAAAAAAGGCAAAATTAACAAGGCAAATGAAAATATTCTGTAGTTGTATATCACGCACACTAAAAAAATGAACAACAAAGTACCACAGAAGCGATTGGAGCTAATTTAGCCGCCTCCGATGTACATTCTTTTCCCTTCACTGCTACTGCGGCATTATTATCAGATTCTCCACCAGATGCCGCCCTGTTACCAAGCCGTAGTTTCTTAAGGCTTAATTGTTGACCCATTTACGCCTATGCAGAGCTTTACGTAAGAACACGTTTGTTCTTATTCTTGTTTCATGCGTAGCAGCGATGAGCGTTTTCGCCAGTCAACGCCAACAACCATTCGTATAAACCAAGCACTTTTCCAAGCATCGATCGATTTCAACACCCCCTTTACTGAAGCGCATACACAGACACACAGCACTCCAACATACAACCAAAACTCCATCACTCTCTAACAGTTTTTCACAGCTTGCTCTGCCGTCTTTTGTCAATTCTCTAATTGCCTTTCCTCTAGCACTTGATACGTGATATTTTTCAACAACAGCAACACATCACTGACCAAACCTCATTAGATACACCCTACTTACTAGTGCTCCTGCTGCTGTTGTTATTGGCTTACACCAAAATGTTATATAACCAAAATTACACCCCTTTCAGTTTCTTTGTCCGCAGCCACTTCTTCATTATAGCTTTTTTATACTCTACTTTCAATCAGCGGAAAAAATACGCATAGTAAAACAAGGAAACGACTGGCTGATTCACGCCTTGGCAAGTGCCAAAAACAAAAAACGGAAACTATGTGGTAATCAAAAAACAAAAATCTCAAGTGTAAAAGACATAAAATGATTTTACAAACTCCTTTCTATAAAAAAAAAAACTTCTAGAAAAATTACTTCATATCAGATAAACAGATGCACTGTCTGCTACTAAAGGGGCACTATTATTCGCCTCATTATCGGCAGGGGAAGACCTTATCTGCGACAATAATTCCATATTTGTAAAAACTGACTGCACAACTTCAAAGAAGAGAAAAATCAGTCTTCTATTTTACTTCAGCTAACTAGCGAAATTGAACTGCAATCAAACCTGTAATTGACGTTCATGAAGTCGTTCAAAGTGCTCTTTCAAGAATAAAACTGGGTTATCCGGTTTGTGAATACAAAGGCTGACGATAGCATCCTTAACTAGCTCTTGGATATTATGCCGTTGCACATACGCCTGACACTGCGCTAACCTCTGCTCCTCACCACCACCCGCAGCCGCCATTAAGCTGAAAAACCCCGAAAAAAAGTATTAACCAACAACAGAATTTACAAGACTAAAAGCGAAAAAAATTCATGTTACTGCGTCATTCTCGGCTCATATTGAAACCTTTCTACCTTTTCAGCAATTTCTACACACAAGTTAGAATCATAAGAAGTTTAGCAGAGTTTAGCATAGAAAAAAACGACATGTTGAAGTTGTCAAGGAAAACAGTGTACAACAATTCTATCATAACAAAAACTTTTTTCAAAATCCACACCTCCCTACCATATAAACCTGACTAATTGAAATACGATAAAAAATACACAAGTTTGCTTTTACACCACCCGATGGCAACTTCCATGACTGTGCAGAGAAAAAAAAATCACCCCCTGACCTCTATGTGATTAACAACCAAACATCAATGTGCAATCAATAAATGTGACACTAGTTTACTTTAGGTTCCCCCATAGGCGGAGCCTCCAAAAAACCAAAGATGTTCCGCGTAAACGCTGCGTACCATCACCACTTTGAACGAACCCCTCAGAAGAATCGGCGAGTTAGAATGAGTGCACTAACTTCTCGAAATACGCCTTCGCTGCCAAGAAGCCCTTTATTTAGAAAACACCTAAGTCAACCGCTGGTATAGTAAGCTTAATGAACTCGAGTTTAATCCAGAAAACTTAATTCTGTGGACAAATACCTAAAATTCCTCAACTATAGTCATTCAGCTCGGATCATTCTGTTCCTTTTGTCCATATTAAACTCTTTGGTTACCAACTCTAGACCAACACTGGCTTTCCGGGAATTTATCCGTAATAAAAACTTCAACTTTGAGGGATTTGTAACACCATCTTCTCTGTTCACTGCAACGGTAGCCGACCCATCAAGAGCTTACCGGTGCAATGAAATAGATAAGCGAGTTCTCACCTTAGACGCTACGCCCTACGGAGATATTTCCCGTCCTCTGCAAACTGACGCCAGTTAAACTCCGAGTACAGTTCAACTATGATGGGCCCATTGTGCCACCCATATGGGAAACCGATCCGCCTACGCGGGCCCAAAGCAGACCAGTGAATGTGAACCAAATTTGATACTCGTGAATTTTTTTGCTTGTATCGATTAAGCGTCAGATCTGATCATAATACGACAATGAAGAAGGTGAGGCAAAGTCGATGACGAAGAAAACGGAAATTTGTTTACCTGGTGCCAATGAAAAGGCGGGCGTTCCGTTGCAAGTGTGGAGAGGAACAATAAGTGATATATTGGAATACGATAAATCCCTTATGAAATAAATATTTGACGGTTATTATTCTGCGACCAGTTCAGTGCGTCGGAATAGCCGTCGGCAGAGGTATTCCACCAGGAGAGTACTCTGACACAATAATAACGATGGTAAATACAAAGAAAAAAAAAAAAACTAATTAAATAACCCAATGAGAACTGTACGAGCAATTTAAAAAATATAATAAAAAGAATAAAAAATACACAAGTTAGAGATAAACGATACGGAAAAATGGCGAGAAATAAAAAAATAAAACGAAATAAAATAAAAATAGATAAAAAGAGCAATGCTATAAAGAGGGCAGAAACATCAAAACAGGGATGAAAAACGACCTAATAATGCTGACGGAGAGCTTTCACATTCAGATGAAACTTTGAGAGACGACAACAACACCCAGTCCAACATGTTAAATGGAACAAAAAAAAAAAAAAAA